TCACTGAGAGGTTGAATAATTCCCCTTTATAGATATGTGAACTGAAATGCAAAAACCAAATTCCTTGTCCTGATCAAAAGAATCAGTGGGGATCAACCCCTGTGGCTTTATTTCTGCCTAGCCTTTCCCCAAATATTCTTTTTTATGAGTTTAAATAAAATAAGCATGAAATACTTTCATGTTTTACTGGAAATTGCGATAGAAACAAAAGAACAAGAAATTTCAGTTTTCTCAATTTAATGGAGAGCTTCCTGGGATCCAATTAAATAAATTTCAAGGAAAGAAGTTTCAGAAGATAGTATGTTAGTTGCACTAGATTTTGCTTAGTTGGGTGGAGAAAATTGTGCAGAATGAACTACAGCAGTAGGTGCCTGCCCTCTAGTGGCCAAATGGAAGCATTACAATATTTTTCCTTCAAAACATGGGATAACGGACTTGTTAAAACCAAGATTTTATTTAAAAAAAATTTATATCCTTCCTCTTTTCAAAATGAACAGAAGTGACTGTAAATTATAACACAAGTGGATTAGTAAGAGGATTACTGGGAAGGCTGTTTTCTTTTACAAGTTTTGCAGAAGGAGGTGATGCCATTTGGTACACCAGTTGAAAAGATTTCCATCCAGCGCATTGAAAATTTGGATCTGACAATCAAGCAATAGAAAACTAGGATTTGGGGAATTTATTTGAAAAGGTAATATAGTAAGTAAATATTTATTGTACTATTGGAGGTGTTGGGTCATGCTGTCCTGCCTGAATCACATAAAAAGTATAATCCCTTCCATGTAGTGGTTAGGATGACAGCATCTTGATTCAGATACCAGATGAGTAAGGGGCAGGGTCATCAGCTTTTACTGAATATCAAGGGCAAGTCTTATAATGTCATCATGTAGAAATCCAGTCCATTCAGGACAGATGTGGGCTTTTCCCTCAAGATAGAACTTCCTCAACCATACATACAATTGGTACCTTGAATTCATATTACCTGGATGAAATTAAATAATGTATCTACTGCACATGTCTAAGGAATTAAAAACATTTCTAAAAACCTCCCGATGTATGTATTCTGAAGCATTTCAGGATGAAGTATACTAATATTTGCAACCTACTTTGAAATGCATTAAAAAATAAGATAGAATAATGAATAGATAGAGGGATGGATGAATATAGATATGATAAAGCAAATGCATCAAAATTAAAATTGTGGAATCCAGGTGATTGATATATAGATGTTCATTATACAATTCTTTCAACATTTGGCTACATTTGAAAATTTTTATAATAAATGATGGCAAAACTATATTGTGAAGAATCTACCAGAGTGAGTTAGAAGCAGAAGACAGCTTTAAGGAGCTGAATAAATTCATCTGTTGACTTCAGTTTTTGTCATATCTGTGATCACATAAAAAGTCATCAGCATTCACATGGTATCTTTGTTGAAACATTTGTAACAGCTGTTCACATGTATATGCATGAATTTTTATTAATGTTAGTCTCTTCCTCCAGATTGTAAGGCCTACGAGAGCATCTGATTTTTTTCATCATTATATATAATTAAAATATGTTATTAATAATATATGTTATATATTATTATATATTATATATAATTAATAATGTTACATATATTACATATAATATATATAGTATATAATGCTCAGCATGGTGACTGACCAAGTTGTGTTCAAAAATTTTTTAATTGAATGAATAAATGAAGGAATCTGCATTTTGTTTTCAGCTCACATATAATCACTACATACACTGTCAATGACAAGGTCCTGAAACTAAAGAACCACCTTATGCTACCATAAGAAAACAATTTTTTTTTGAATGAATGAATCAGTGAGTGAATGAAGATGCTGCTCTTGTCTGCAGAGAATCTGCATGTAATTCAGAATTATGGCAGTTTATTTAGAAAGAGATTAAAGGGAGACACAATTTTATATATGTTACATATATTATCGTTCCTGCCCATTTTAATTTATTAGAAATATTTAATACAGTCGCCAAAGAAATCAGAAGAAATGAACTCTTTATAGTTGGGCAGAAATCATGAATTTTTCTTTTTAAAATGAATGTAGACCATACAAGGAATTTTTGTGATGTCCTTTTACAAAATAAAAATTGCGTGGACACTTCACTACTCAAGCCACCTGCATTGTTCTGGGCCAGGAAATCAGAGACGCCAACAGTTGGTTTTAAAAGCCACATACCGTTTCACAGAATGGATGCAATACTGTGTATTCTGGATGGACAGCTAACCTTCTTTCTACTTTTTGCACCTACAGAGAACAATGCTTGTACAAACATCCTTGTATATCTATCTTCAAGTACTGGGTTTTTGTTTTTGTTTTTTTTTTCCTGTAAGAATAGGAAAAGGCAGGGATGTTGTATAATGGGAAGGGAGATTTTACAAAACAAGCAAAAGGGAAAACCACTCACCATATAATGCTACAAATGAAAATGTTATCTATAAAGTGACCACATATGAGAAAAAAATGAATATGCATATTTGAATAAAGATGAAAAGGAATATCAATAAACAAAGCATTTACTTGAAAAAAAAAAAGACTGTAGACCAACCACCCTTAACATTCATCTTGTGGGAATGTATCTTTTGAATTAAGCCAAATCACTTGGCAGAGACTACGGTCAATCACTCACAAAACAGATTCTGGACAATTCCCTGAGAAGAGTTTCTCTTGGAGCCCTACTGGAGTCCTGTGATAAAGCTGACATTTTAGAGTGGATGGAATAATGGCTTTTTAATTCCACATGGGGAGCGTCCCAAGTGAGACACACATGTAGGACTCCACAGCATTGGTTCTCAACGTGTGGTCCCTTCACCAGCAGCATCAACATCACTAACAAACTCATCAGAAATGCAAATCCCCCCAGACCTACTCAGTCAGAAACTCTCAGGGCGAGGCCAGCAATCTGTGCTTTAAGAAGTGATCCAGGTGATTCTGATGGATGCTTAAGTCTGAGGGCCTTGCTACTCAGAATCTGTTCCTATAGGTCAGTAGCTGCAGCATTGCTTGGAAGCTCCTTAGAAATGGAGAATTTTGTGCTCTGCTTCAGAACAATGAAATCTGAATCTGCATTGTAACAAGATCCCCAGGTGATCTGTATGCACAGTAAAATTTAAGAAGCCTTACTCTAGAGAGTGAAAAATTGTCATTGAGAGTCACACTTTTACAGTCCCTATGGTAGGGGCCTGGCATGGACTACAATATTCAAATATCTGGCTGTAGTGCTGTTTTGGGCAGATGAACCCAAACCTCCTTATTTGAATCCACTGAAATTTGAAAAATTGATATGGAGGAATTTGTAAAAGCAGTGAGACTGAACCAATTCTTGAGTAGTTTCAACTCAAATTCATATATGGTCTTCCGTTGAGAACTCATTTAAAAAGACTCTAGTTCCATTTTTTGCTTACCGATATTAGGCAAGTCAATCTACCATGATAAGCAACTGTTCCCTCTTTTAAAAATGGGGATTATGTGTTGTCTAGTTAGGGCTTAGTTTTTTCCAGGGCACCCAATAAAATGCCTTGTAAACTCCAGAGCTGTATATAGAAATAAAGGGGTAGTGTCTTTATTTAAAGGCCATCTCCAAAAAGGCAAATTTTCTCTTCCTACTTTATTGGATGCTTTAAAGTTCAGGGATTGTGAGAAACTATTGTTTCTATAAGTTGGTATTTTGCTAAATTATTATTTGAGGAGCAAGATTTTCATTTAAAGAGAATCCCAAATGACTAGGAAACCTCATCTTTGATTTTAGCGCCAAGTTCTTGAACCATGGATGAGGCATCAAGCTTCTGTCTTAGAAATAGATTAAATGACACCCAATGTTTCTCTGAAGTTAAACACAGTAACCTTATGAGTTGTACCACCTTGAATTTTTGCGGTTGTTATCCTCCCAGTGAAATCCACACTAGATCCTATAAACCCTTTTTCTTTTCAAATAATCAAATCCCATCAAAGATGCCTACAGTGCCATACGCTGAATAAGGAAATACATTATTTTTGATACATTCCAGCTCATTTATAAGAACACATGAGTCTGACAACTTAAAAAGTAGGCCTCTTGGAATTAATGAAAATATGGTATTACTAAACAGCTTTCCCTTTCAATGTCAAGGTGATATGAAGACCACTAACACACCTTTGCTGTGTAATACACACACAGATGATACAGGAAACTCTTCAGAACAGAAATTTTGGCCTTGAGGGTTGAGTAAGGTTTGGGGTATCAAGTTCTCTGTCTTATATCATAACTTTCTCCAAGGGTGGAAATGAACACTTAGTGAATGAATGTGGCCTTAGAAGTTTTTGAGTTGGGGGAACTGAATTTTGGCCAGAAGCCAGGGTACAAACTAATTAAATGGAACCCACATATATAAACCTCACTATTGAAGAACAATGTAAAATCTTGTGATATAAAGGGGGGGAATCCTGACATTTGATTCGACAAAAAATTCAATTCAAAGGTTGCTACTACCATTTAAAGTAAAGGTCTTAATATTCTGTGCTTAATTATCCAGGCAACAAGCTATAGAGGACAGAAAGAGGAATGAAGCGTAGTCCTTGTTAACGGTTACCAGAAAATTGCAGTTTTGTTATTGAGGTAGTACAATGGGGTGGAGTGTATACCCTTGCTACTCAAAGTATGCTCCGTGGAATGGCATTATCCCATCACCTGGGGCTTGTGAGAGATGCTGAGCCTCTCCCCACCCCAGACATGCTGACTCAGGATGCCCTGGTCTGCACATCAGACTTATAGAAATGCTGTTGTAGGGGCGCCTGGGTGGCTCAGATGGTTAAAGCGTCTGCTTTCGGCTCAGGTCATGATCCCGGCGTCCTGGGATCGAGTCCCGCATCGGGCTCCCTGCTCCTTGGGAGCCTGCTTCTCCCTCTGCCTCTCTCTGTCTCTCATGAATAAATAAATAAAATCTTTAAAAAAAAAAAAAAAAGAAATGCTGTTGTAGAACAGGAGTCCTGGAGCTAGATGGCTTGAATTTCAACGCCGACTCTGCTCCTTACTGGTTGTGTGACACTGGCTGAGAAATCGAATCTCCCGGTACTCAGTTTCCTCATCTGCTAAATGGGAATAATCATAGTAACCAAGACATACGGATATTTTAAGATGTAAGTGTGTTAATACATGAAAGAGCTCAGAACAGTGCCAGGTATGTAGTATGCGCTCAGTAAAATGCTTCTGCATTCCCCAACATGCTAAAGCAAGTCATGTTCAAATACTGCATGTGGACATTAAAGATGTCACATAATATTTTGTATTCAATACATTGGATATTTACTTTTTTCTCTTTACAGGTGTATTTTAAAAATAGAAGATCAGGAGTGTTACTGGTGTCTCATTAGGCATTTCTATAACCACATGAAAACATTAGGATTGTGAAACCATTTTTAAAAATTAATATTTTTTAAAAGAAAAATATATATGCATCTACTTGCTAGAAGGACATACATCAAAAATGTTAACAGTATCTCCAAGATTACTGAGGGCCTTTTTTTTTTGGTGGTTTATTATGTTTAAAAATTTTTTATATACCTTTTTTTAAGTAAAGAAATAGCTATAACTATTATAAAGCCTTTGTTATAATTCAGATTAGGCAACTTTCTACAATTTTACTAACCCAGTGTCCTGAATGACAACTTTAAAAGACATAAAATAAACCCAGCAACTAAAATCTCTATTATACTTTAACTTACGTAAATATGTTGGATTTATATATAGATATCTATCTATCTTTTCACATGATCTGAATCAAACATCTAGTGTTCAAAGCATGGGGAGATTTTCAACTTGCCTAGTTATTTGGTTTGCAAATTACTCTATGAAGATAATTTATTAAAGTATTAAAAATCTGAGGATATTTTGCAGTCCAATGAAGTCTTTAATTTTCAAATAGAAATGACCTTTATAACTACCAAGTTAAAAGGATTATACTAAAAAAGTCTTCGCTGCTAAAATAGTGTCTCCAGTGCCTGCCATGTCCTAGATAGAATTTTCTTTTGAGAAAACCACAGCTACTTATTTTCAGTGGCCTCATTCAAACAAACTTACATCATTACAAGACAGGATAAAGGGCACACTGGTGTTCAAAGGTGTGGAATGACTTTTCCTTCCTAGAGTTACATGGTAAGGGCAAATGATTTTTTTTTCTTGAGTTTTAAAAATGAGGTCATTTAGGGTTTTGACATTTCAAAGTAAAAAAAAAAATCATATTTTCGGGAGCCTGGGTGGCTCAGTTGGTTAAGCAGCTATCTTCAGCTCAGGTCATGATCCCAGGGTCCTGGGATTGAGCCCCACATAGGGCTCCTTGCTCAGCAGGGAGTCTGCTTCTCCCCTGCCTGCCATTCCCCCTGCTTGTGCTTGCTCTCTCCCTCTCTGTCAAATAAATAAATAAAATCTTTAAAAAAATCATATTTTCTCTGTTGGACCATTTGGAATCTATGGGATTCAATGCCTATAAAATGATTTCTAAAACTGAAAATGTCTAAATATCCTCTAAATTTAACGAATATTATGCATTTACTGAAAATCCTTTCTGATCACCACTGCTAGAGGAGAAACAAAAATAAAGTTGACCTAAAATGCTTCTTCTGTATTTTTATATCCATTAGCGTTGCATTCTCTCTAAATAGATTTTTGATATGTGATGTTTGGTGCAAAGATAAGGCTTTGAACGGACGGTAGTGTGACAGGATCCCTGACATCTTGAAGGCCCTAGGTCTCCCGTTCCTTAGAGTGACATTTTTTTGCAATCACGAGAAAAATGGTCTCTCTGGTGTACCATGAGTAAAATACCCCATTAGGAGAATTTTTATCTCAATTGCTGTACTATATAAGCAGAAATTGGCGGTGTCTTGAAATGTTCTCTCCAATTGAGGGTTCACTCCTTGGAGAACCTGGCTAATGAATGTGTAGAAATTGATGATAGAAAATGCATTGTTTCTAAATAGTGACAATACATGCAATTTCACTTGAAAATGCTTTCTTTGAACTTCTATTTCCTAGAAAATAAAACACATCCAGTTGATTAAAGAGATATTATTAAGGATTATTTCTATCTACATGAACTATCTTTACCTTGAATTATATTTTATTACATATGTTAGTGAGCTAAAGCAGGTAGAAGAGAAAAGAGTTTCAGAGCTTCTGTTAGATTTCTAAGGAGAGCCTCTAATTAAACATTGGTGTCTATATGAGCAAAATGAGAAATTCACTGAATTTTCTCCTCTTAATCTTTTTGAAGGCCATTGGAAAGAAAAAGTGCTATGATCTCTAAAGAACCACCAGAATTAAAGATGTAACTGCTGTCAAACATTTAAATTCTGGTTCCCAAACAAAAAATTCAGAAAGGGCATTTGTTCTTGATTTTCAGTATAAAACAGCAACTGTTCAGCCTTACGTTCCCTAGAAGCAGAATTCAACATGGCGGTGGTTGAGTGCGTGATTTACCGAGAACAGGAGGAAACTGCAGGAAGGTGAGGAAAGCAGGGTAAGACCGGGAAAGAAGATTAAGTTGAAATGTGGTCTCAGCCTGGAGTCCAGGCTCAGCCTGATCCCATGGGCGCTCAGGAGTGTGAACTGTAATACAGAAGTTGCCCACCCAGAAGCAAGGGACCTGGGCTCTTATTCTCCTGGATCTTTCAGTCACTCAGCATGGGTCACCCCCTTCCGAGAATAATCTACCAGACATCTCCAGCAAAGTAGCTCCTATCAGCCCAGGCCAGTCCTCTGGAAAAGTCTACAGCCACGAGCCGTCTGCAGCCCACACCTGCAGCAGTCCTGTGGCCGTGGGTGAAGCAGCACTAAAATGAAGGTCTGAGGGCGCCTGGGTGGCTCAGTTGGTTATTAAGCATCTGCCTTCGGCTCAGGTCATGATCCCAGGGTCCTGGGATCCAGCCCTGAGTCGGTCTCTCTGCTCAGTGGGGAGTTTGCTTCTCCTTCTGCCCCTCACCCTGCTCGTGCTCTCTCTCACTCTCCTTCTCAAATAAATAAACAAAATCTTTTAAAAAGTTATAAATATAAAGAAGGTCTGGGTGGGACACCAAGAGCATCTGCTTGGAGCGTGGGAAGACCCCTCCTTCTGTGAGCCCCACACAAGCAGTGAGTGCTTGGACTAAGCCCTCAAAATTCACGCAGGGGGCCTAGGTGTTTCTCATTTGTTTTTTTCCCCTCTGCAGATGCTAAGCATAGATGTTAGAGGCACAGATGACTTTGGAAGTATATTCATGTCTGCTGTTAGGCATAATTTTCTGGCAATGTAAAAATTTCCTATAACCTTATTTATTGCATACCACAAAAAGCATTATTTATGAAACTTACCAGTCTAACTTTAAATTTCACTCTCTACTGGTCCTATGGGATATGATGCTGGCAGTGTAAATAAGAGCCTGGAAAATGTTACTCTTATGTTGAATGTTTTTCTTTCCTTTCATTTTTTTCTCATGTTCAATTAGCTCAACATATCTTAGATCAAAAATTTCTAAAATTCTATGCAAAAAAAGAAGGAAATAATCATAGATGTGCTCAAAAATGTATTTACATATGTTCACTGAAGATCTGTTTAAAAGAGTGGAGTATTTCAAATATCCAATATTAGGGGATTGGAAAAATAAACTATGGTATGGCTATATGATAGAAAACCATGAAGTCATTAAAGGGTATGTCATAGAAGAATATTTAATGACATGGAAAATATTTGCAGTAAGTGAAAATAAAAGGTTAAAACACAGATAGAGAATATTATCCCATTTTATGAAAAAGTAATAATTGTGCATAAAAAGACTAGCTTTGTATACACTCATATTTACAGTGTTATGTCTGAGTGGCTTAGGGGTTTGAATTCTAGGTAGTATCTTTGGGATTTTTCTTTTCTTATATTTAGTTTAAAAATTTTCCATGATAAACCTAGATTTCTTTTGGAATAAGAAAAAAGTTATTTAATAAATTATATCAACTTGGGTCACCTGGGTGGCTTAGTTGGTTAAGCATCTGACTCTTGGTTTTGGCTCAGGTCATGATCTTGGGGTCGTGGAATCAGGCCCCGCATTGGGCTCCACACTCAGTGGGGAGTCTGCTTCTCCCTCTCCCTCTGCCCCTCCCCCCTGCTTGCATGCTCGCTCTCTCTCTCAAACAAATAAATAAATCTTAAAAAAATAAATTTTATCAACTTTTATGGACTTGCTATTAGTTATAGTTATCCAAACAATTTTCAAAATTTCCCCCCCATTCTGATAGTTCTCCATTTTTTCTCATCTTTCTCCATGAATTTATCTTCAGAATATTCAATGAAGTATGAAAATAGCTTATTTCTTTCACTGTTTTTAATATTGGTGTTACCTCCAATCATTAAACTATATTTCACTTTTTTGAAAACTAAAGGACTGCCAGTCTACATAGAAGCTCTATATTTTTAAATTTTACTTCTAATATTTCCAGTCCCTTCCTTGATTACTCTTTGCATTGTGACATCTTATTTAGAAAAATATACCAATTATTTGGGAATATGTATTATAATATATTAAGTATACAATGTAATAATAGTAGTAAACATTTTACAGCTCATACTACACATTAGGTATTTGTATTAAGGACTTTATGTATTCTAAGAAGCCACAAAGCACTTTGAAAATCCTGCACTTTAAAGAAAAAAGAAAATACTAAATACATGATGATTATCTTCTTTTCTAAGTGCTTTAGTCACCTTTAATTAATATGAAATCAGTTAGAAACTTTCACCTGAGATGGCCAGATGTGGACTGTTCAGTGCAGGCACAAAATAAGATGCTGGTGTGGGCATGGAATACCAGAAGAGGATGAAATACGAAAAATTCAGTCAATCATATAGATGTTTTATGAGACAATGCTGAGCTCCATCAAAGAGTTTTTCCAATGTGTTACTTTCTTCTCATGAGGTATGATGTTACGTAGGCAAAGCCAGCCACTGGGTTTCGAAATCATGCTTAATACCACATAAGATTAGAACACTCGCTCACCTCTTTCTTTACTTCTTCTTCATCTTCCAGTGTCAATGCAGCCAATTGTTTAGCTCTTTGCTCCATCAGATTCACATATCGTATTGGATTTGACAAAGCTTCAATCACATCTAAATAAGGAAGAGACATTTTAGATCAAAGGTCCTGGATATATTGATTATCCATCATCCATTCATCCATCCATCCATCCAACCAACTAACCATTCATCCATCCATCCATTCATCCATCCATGCATTCACTCATCATCTATCTACTCACCCACCCATCCACCGAGTCATCATCCATCTTCCACTCTTCCATCTACCATGTGACTATCCACTCATCCATCCAACATTTTGGAAATGGACAAGTCAGGACCCTTTGCTTCAACCTCAGGAAGACAGAACTCAAGGGAATTCAGCTCTGACAGCCAAACTGGATAGGCTCCAACACAAGATACCTCAATATTACCTAGTTTTCAGTTTATTTTGAGGGGCCCATCCATTCCAACAATGGCCCACACACTTGTCCTATTTGGCCCAAATGGTGTTTCATAAATGAAGGAAAATATCTCACATAAAAAGCCTGCTTTCCAGACTGTTGAAACAACCCAAAGACTTGGCAATATGAGTATCATTCACACATGATACTGTCTATCTGGAGTGAGTTATGGCTGCCATCTTTGGATGGGCATGTGCTCCAAGTTTGCCATAGTCTCCACCACTCCCCAATACCTTATAATCAGGCCACTTAACACCATGAGTATTTAAATTTATGATTCCTGGTTGACATTGTCACAAGTTAATTCCTCTAAACTTAGGATTTCACCAATGAAAAGGATCTGGCTTCTAAAACTGGCTGAAGATAAAGCCATTGTACAGACCTAAATACACTGTTGTAGTACCAAGTAGCATGGGTTAGAAATTGCTGGATCCATAAGAATAATACTACTAGTAGATAAATATGCTTAATATTTTATTGGGACTTAAATGAAATTAAAATCTATTCACAAAGGCTTGAGCAATTTAATCAACATGCGCACATACATAGAAGTGATTCTGAGGCCAGAATTTCCTGCCTATTTTTGGTCCAATTTTCCTTCCACTAAACCACAAAAATAAGGATGGCCCCAGATAGAAACATCCCCTTGACTTAGGTTGTTTACCTGCATATGTATCTGGGACATAGTCTTTCACCTCTATGTAGACAAAGACAGCTGGGAGCATCAGAGGCTGGTTCCTCTCATTCCTCAGACAGATATAGTGATAGCCTATAGGGTGACATTAATACTGTGTATCACATATTTTCTTCACAATATTAGTTACAACACAGGAACATCTATGCGATGGAAGTGTTTATTTTAGGTGACTTTGGATGACAAACAGGTCACTTCTTATTTTCATCACATGGTTTTACGTGAAATTATTTTTCTCATCAGACAGGAAAACAATGTTGATTCTGATTATTTTCCTTTCCAATCATGTTTTTCCCCACAAAAGAGAATCTAAAATTGTATGTCATAGACTGAATTCTTGGTCCAAATTCTTCCCCTGTCTGTGATTTCTTGACTTGGGGCTTAGCCATATGCTTTGCTTTAGACAACAGGATGTTAAGGTTGTGGTGCAAACAGAGGATTCAAATGCACTTGCAGAGTCGGGCTTGCCCTTATATGCATTCCAGGGGGCGGCCATAAATGTCCATATTGTGGGTACCACTGCTCCTTCCTCCCAGAAGCCTGAATGAGCACACGGGGAACAGACCTAACTCCAGCCCTCAGCCTAAAGCACAGCTGCACAGCTGATCCCAGCCAAACCCTGCCAACCCACAGACTTGTGAGCATAAAGATAGAGCACTTGTTATAAACCACTGAGTTTTCAGACAGCTTCCTAAATCACCCTTGAACAATCACATAAGGCGGTGATGGTGTTCTTGACAGCTTTGATAGTTTCTTACCACACTGTCCATACCTGGCCGAATTGCCTGTACTGGCAAGATTCGGTGACCGATGAATTTACCTCCTTCTTCATAAACTGCTATCCTCAAACAGGCCAGAGAAGGAAGAACCACCTAGAGGGAAATGCAGGACACAAGTGGTTACAAGAAGGAGCAACTCCAGGAAAAAATTAGAAAGGTAATCTTCAAATATGGAAATGACAAACATTTAAATATAAAGTTAGTAGTCTTACCACTATTTGAGCCTTTACACTTACATTTTCTTTTTTCTTTTTCTTTGAGGGAGAGAGAGAGTGGGCAAGCATGAGCAGGGAGGGGAGGGCGAGGAGGGGCAGAGGGAGAGGTAGAGAGGAAGGAGGCTCCATACCCAGCATGGAGCTCCATATGGGGCTCATTCCCATGACCCCAAGATTATGACCTGAGCTGAAATCAAGAGTTGGATGCTTAACAGACTGCACCAGCTAGGAGCCCCTACTCTTATATTTTCAAAGCAAATCACTTTTATACTTTCAAAGCAAAAGCAAACATGCAAAAATAGAGGTTGCAGAACAGCTTTCAAAATGAGATTGCTTTATAAATAATTCCCAAATTAGCAACAAGTAATTGCTCATCTTTTCCCTCCACAACGTAAAACATGTGTGGAGAACATGAGGCTAACTGTATCCTTAAAAATTTAATTTTCGTAACAAGAGCAAGCTAACATTTGTTGGCTATTTTCAAAGCGCCAGACATTTTATTAATGTTTTCAGTGTATTGGGGAATACTTATTAATAATTCTTTGAAATAGACACTACCATTAAATCTGATCAACATATTAAAGATGGTGGGAGCACAGAGACCTTTAACACAGATATTCTCTTTGCAGGAGACAACTTTTCCAGATCTTTTGGCCAGATAAAAGCAAAGGGTATGGTAAGATAGTTTATTCCACTTTCTACTAGACTATTGTCTTCCTTTGTGTCACAAGCATGTGTGTAGAAGATTTGTTTTTTTGGTGAAGACAGACAGAAGGCCCATTCAAATGGAAAAGTTTTAACTCTATCAGACAGAATCCAGACAAGATAGAATGACCAGCTGCCAGAGGCGAGAGGTTATAGGAAGTTTAATTAATATTCTTTTTTAGGATGTATGGGCTTCCTTCTCTCTGCTACCATATTATTCCCTACTTTTCACTTTACTTCATTTCAGTTACGATGAAAATATATCATTTACCACTTGTATTATGAGGGGATACGAGTCAATTTATATGTTTTGCTGGTCTTCCAAATGAGGTATACTAGAATTAAGTGCTTCACAACACAATTCTGAAAATCCAAACAAGTGATTCACAGAGATCCTGAACAGATTTTAAGATAGCCCCCAAAGTGCTATTGCTTTATAAATGTGTAAATTCCGGGGCGCCTGGGTGGCTCAGTTGTTAAGCATCTGCCTTCGGCTCAGGTCAGGATCCCAGGGTCCTGGGATCGAGCCCCGCATCGGGCTTCCTGCTCGGCAGGGAGCTTCTTCCTCTCCCACTCCCCCTGCTGGTGTTCCCTCTCTCGCTGTGTCTCTTTCTGTCAAATAAATAAATAAAATCTTAAAAAAAAATAAAAAATAAAAAATAAATGTGTAAATTCCCAAATTAGCAACAAATAATTCCTCCTATAATTTTTTTTCTGAGTGAAACACCTAGAACGTGCAGTTACATCTCATATCAAGGATATGAGACCTACCTTTTTGAACACAATGGGCTCTTCTTCCCAGACAGGATTTACAGCATTTCCTTGTGATGTTTTGGTCTTAAATGCCTTCCTCCTCGTGTCCACAGGCAAACCAAACATATCCACTTCCACGTAAGTCCCAACTTTCTTATCAGAAAGAAACTGACCTGATATAATCTAGAAAATAATAAAAAAGGAACTCTTGAAAATGAGTAAGTGATATAAGAGAATACTTTAGGGAGGTACAAATGTTGGTTGAATCATAACCAAAATGAAAGAGAGGCAAGAGGACAAATAAAATTGCTCTTTTGGTTAAAAAATTGATAGAGGCACATTGAAAATGCTGAGGTTAGAAGGAGTCAGTTAGTAAGACAAAACTGTATAGGAGGAAATAAATGAACAAATACCAAAAGTTTGATGAGATTATACTTTTTGTACTTGAGATACATCTGTTAAATGTTGAAAACTGATCTTAGAGCCAATCGAATATAAAGGTTTTTCTAATACTTAAAGATGTTACAAGAGAAAAAATTCTCATTTTAGCAGGATTGTAAATTAAGTTAAAAGGTTAAGAGTACAAATTTAAAACATAACAAAGTAGAAACTCTAGCATTTAAAAAGTTTCCTTTTGTTCATAAAATTCAACTTGAAGAAGTGGTTGTAACACTATGTTATTCAATTCTCGGAGTTGTTATACTTTTATTTTTTTATTTTTATAGTTTTAAGTAGGCTCCAAGGCAGGGCTTGAACCCACAACCCTGAGATCAAGACCTGAACTGAGATCAAGAGTCAGACACTGAACCGACTGAGCCACCCAGGTGCCCCCAGAGTTGTTATACTTAAATAAAAAGCTACAATGATAATAAAAACAAAACCCAAATATCGACTTTAAACCATCAAACACAGTTTATCATCACTCCTAACCCCAACCTGTTAACCGTCCACACAATTATGGGTATCCTTGCTTAGCTATAAAATTTATGGATATTGTAGAGTTCAAAGAGTTTTAAAATCACATATCCTGGTGGCTAGGAGCTTTCTGATCTCAAGTCCGTGAAAGGGGACAGAATTATCAAGACTGTGGTGGGGCCAGAAGTGGGACATGATGTCAGCCTGTGAATGGCCCTCAAGGGCTCAGCGAGGCCAATGAGCTATTTGCTGATGTGGTTAGAAATTCCAAACCAGTTAGAGAGAAAAACGAGGAAGAGGCTGTCTGAATTTGCCCCCAGGATAGCTCATTTCTTCTGAATGTTCTCTTTAGCCTGAGTGCCTGGGACCTGCCAGCAATGATCTCTATTTAATTTGAGGTTCTAAGGGAGAACAACTTAGCAGACATTTTATATGTGTGAAACTTCCAAGCTTGTGAGTCACACTGGGAAATCAGATGCACCAAGGATTCCGTGCACTTAAGGTGTTTGGTTAAAGCAGAGGTTCTTGGGGAACCACTTGGGTGGCTCAGTAGGTTAAGCATCTGCCTTCGGCTCAGGTCATGATCCCAGGGGCCTGGGATGGAGCCCCGCATTGGGCTCCCTGCTTGGCGGAGAGTCTCCTTCTCCCTTTCTCTCTCCCTCTGCTTCTCCCTCTGCCTCTCCCCTCTGCTTGTGCTCGAGCTCTCTCTCTCTCTCTCAAATAAATAAATAAA